TTAGGCTGCCACAGACCTGCTGTTTCACTCTCAGCCTTAAATGTTTCTCCTCTGACTCAGACAATTGCCCTGATGTGGGGATCGGATCCCTACCTCAGTTCCCTCACCTGCCGAGGGCAGGTCCAGTCCTACTAACACTCCTATTTTTCCCCCTAGCTCCTTCATCCTACAGAGTTTTGTGTAGTTCTATATATTCTTTTCCACTGGACAGGTCCTCCTGTCTGCTCTCAGCTGGTTTTCTACATGCACTTCTGTGTCCGAAGGTGTATTTCTGATGTATCCGTGGAGACATGTACTCCTCAATCACCTACTCCTCCACTATCTTGCTCTCTCCATGTTACAAATTTAAATAGAGAAAGTAATCTCTCATGTGTGACATTTGGAAGTACAGTAGACTGAGCATGTAAATCAGAAGTTCAGTCAAAGTTCTTTTATTTCCTACTATGCATTCCACAAGAATACAATTTTCAAATGTTTGTTGTTACTCTACCCATCGCCTCTTCACTGAGAAAAAGGGCTGTCTCTTTCTATATGCCCTCTCTTAAAGCAAAAAAGTTGCCATGACATTTTTAAGGCAATTTCCCTTCACTTTGCATTGCCCAGAATTGTTATGTGTCCATAACTAAGCCAATCGGTGCCAAAGGAACCAAAATTACCATGTTTCTTTCATGCTAACAGGGATTTACCTGCCTTCTGGCTTGGAAAAGGGTCATCCATTCTTGAAAGATGCTAAATTTTTAATTTAAAAAAGGGTTCTTACAGTGAGAGAAAGGAAAGTGCTGGTGAGGTGCATCACTAACATATCTTCCAGAATGACATTTAATACGGGGGTCAGAGACCATTTTCTTGGGGAATACATATGTGATAAACACTGCAAAGGGCCCAAGAATAAGTTCTGAGGAGATCAGATATTTTGGTATTGGGAGAGGAGGAAGATCCGGCAATGGAAACTGAAAAGCTGTCCACAGAGTCAAAGCTTCAGTGTTATGGAAATAGTGGAAGAAAAAATTTCAAAGTAATTAACTGAGGAAAGTCAATAAGAAAACAAGTAGGATGGACACTGACACTTTTAAATTCTATCAATGGTTAGTAAAAGAAAGTCATGTGGGATTTTAGGACAAACAGTCAGTGGAAAGGCAGGCATAAAACCAAACTGGAGTTTGTAAAAGTATGAAGAGAACATGAAGAAAAGAATCCAAAAGGTGATCAAAAAATACAAAGAGGTATCATCTCACACTGGTCAGAATGGTCAGCATCAAAAAGTCTATAAACAAATGCTGGAGAGAGTGTGCAGATAATGGAACCTTCTCACACTGTTGGTGGGAATGCAAACTGGTACAGCCACCAAGGAGAACAGTGTGGAAATTCCTTAAAAAACTGGGACTAAAACTGCATTCAGTGGCACAGAAATCCCACTGCTGGGCTACACCACTGAGGAAACCGGAACTGAAAGATACACATGTTCTCTGATGTTTATTGCAGCACAGCTTACAATAGCTAGGACACGGAAGCAACCTAGATGTCCATCAGCAGACGAATGGATAAGGAAGTTGTGGTGCATATACACGGTGGGATACTACTCGCTATATAAAGGAAGACATTTGAGTCAGTCCTACTGAGGTGGAAGAAACTGGAGCCTATTATTCAGAGTGAAGTAAGTCAGAAAGAGAAACCAATACAGTATATTAACACACACATATATATGGGCTTACAAAGATGGTAACGATGACCCATACACAAGGCAGCAAGAGAGACACAGATGTGAAGAACAGACTTTTGGACCCTGTGGGAGAAGGCGAGGGTGGGATGATTTGAGAGAATAGCACTGAAGCTTGTATATTAACATATATGAAATAGATGACCAGTACAAGTTTTGATGCATGAAGCAGAGCAGGGAAAGTCAGTGCTCTGGGACAACCCAGAGGGATGGGGTGGGNCATATAAGTTAAATAAGCAGGGTGACAATATACAGCCTTGATGTACTGCTTTCCCGATCTGGAACCAGTCTTTTGTTCCATGTCCAGTTCTAACTGTTGCTTCTTGACCTGATATAGGTATGCTTATGGCTGATTCATGCTGATGTATGACAAAAATCATCACAATATTGTAAAGAAATTATCCTCCAATTAAAATAAATAAATAAATGTTTTTTAATCCCATGGACAGAGGATCCTGGCAGGCTACAGTCCATGGGGTGGCAAACAACTCAGTACAAGGTTTTTTAAATTGAAGTTAGATTTTAAACTATACAAAACCTCAAGAAATAGTCATGCCAACATCTGCTCCCTACACCAGCATCATAAATATCAGCACTTCCCAGTGTAAATGAAGGCAAAGGGCACTGTGAGAGAAGAAACCAAAAGAAAATGACTGAAGAGGAGAACTACAAAGAGTGTAACAAGGGGAACAGGGTGAGAATGAACCATCAGTCAAGAATGGACAATCAGCCAAGCCCAGACAGTCTCAGAATCTTTCTCAACACAGTACCCAGTCCCCATGAATAGATAAAACATGAAATGCCTTCACTATTCCAGAATTAAATTAATCAGGNATAAATGATGGAACAAAGCAACCAGTGACACATTTTATTTTGGGGGGCTCCAAAATCACTGTTGCTGGTGACTGCAGCCATGAAACTAAAAGACTCTTGCTCCTTGGAGGAAAAGTTATGACAAACTTAGACAGCATATTAAAAAGCAGAGACATTACTTTGGAGACAAGGTCAGTCTAGTCAAATATATGGTTTTTCCAGCAGTCATGTATGGATATGAGAACTGGGCCATTAGGAAAGCTGAGTGCCAAAGAATTGATGCTTTTGAACTGTGGTGTTGGAGAAGACTCTTGAGAGTCCCTTGGACAGCAAAGAGATCCAACCAGTCAATTCTAAAGGAAATCAGTCCTGAATATTCATTGGAAGGACTGACCTTGAAGCAGAAACTCTATTTTGGCCACCTGATGCGAAAAGACGACTCAATGGAAAAGACCGTAATGCTGGGAAAGATTGAAATCAGGAGGAGAAGGGAACGACAGAGGACGAGATGGTTGGATGGCATCACTGACTCAATGGACACCAGTCTGAACAAACTCCGGGAGATGGTGAAGGACAGGGAAGCCTGGCGTGCTGCAGTCCATCCGGGGGCAAAGAGTAGGACACGAAGGAACGACTGAAAAACAAGTTATGTAAGGATAAAGGATAACAGAGGAAGAACACAGATAATAATGAACGAACAGTCCTCAGAACTACGTGGAAATGATGAAAAAGAAATGACTCGTGAAATTTTGAAGCAGTCACAAAAATACTTCGCAAGAAGGAGGAATGAGAGGAGAACTTCCACAGCTTTTTAATAAACCACGGTTCATTAATCTCACACCTATGGTTCGGGGCCCAGGCACTAAGAAAAGGGCTTTGGGCCCCAAACCAAGGACTCGAGAGGCTCCAAGTGATCCGCGCCCAAAACACACCTCACACGAAAAGAAAGGGTACCCGCGCTGGTGCTGGATTCCACAACAAAAGCCACCGCGGAGAGACAGCTCCAGAAACCTCCCGAGGAGGCTACTCTGTCCGCGCAGGGACTCTCCATCCCACCGCACACTCCCCATCCCACTCTCTGAGGCTCTTCGGCCCGACCGACGTTCACAGTTCAACCTCGCGGGCCACCGCGCGGCGGGAGACCCAAGCGAACCCGAAAACCGCCCACGGCCATACCAGCGAGCCCGCACCTCCTCCTGGGGCCCCTTCATTTCCCACCCGGCCTGGCAACCTGCAACCCCAACTCCGACTCGCTGCCGAGTCTAGGGAGTTCGGTAATTACCTGGAGCTCCACCGCGCCGCCATCACACCGGAAGCACGTCACTTCCTCTTCCCCGGCCCCACAGTGAGAGGAAGGCGGAACGTGAAATACATAAAAACCTGACGCTAAACTGACTCTGATACGTTATTGTATTAACTTATTTTAAACATTGTTTTATAAGACCAGATTCAGAGCCGTCAATCCGGTCACACTTTTCCCTTCCCAAGAGGGCGACAAGAGACACAAACTACAAAATCCAGAACTCACCGCCAATGAAGGCGGAAATGACGTGCTCAGTTGTAGGCTGAGAAGGCAGCAATGCACGACGGGAATTATAGTTCTTCTGGATTAAGGATCATAGAGTTCGCTCTGGAAGCTCACCGGCAACCTAGTTCTGTCTTAAGATTTTTAAAAATGTACTGTAAACTTATTTCTCTGCAGTTGACAAAAAAAAAAGGAGACCTTAGTGTAGCCACCTTTCTGTGAAAATCTTAAGGAAACCAAACACCTTTTTAGACTTTTTACAATCGTTAAACCAAAACAAAAATTTTACAAACTGTAACAAGTGTTAAGTGCCTACCAGGTTCCAAGATTGCAAACCTAAGTGAATAGGAAAATATTGGACCACAGAGTGAAGTAATGAGAAGAAACTAATTCTGTAGATAAGATGATGCCTCGATTTTAGGTAAAGGTACCAACCAGCTGGCGAGACACAGGAGAAAACTTTCTGACTGACTCGGAAATGGAAGTCTGAGGTAATCAGCAGAAGCATTTTCTTAAACATTACTTTTCAAAAGTTACAAAACGTAAATGTTAAACTACTTGTTACTGTTTTGGAAACTTCAGTTCAGTTCAGTCACTCAGTCCTGTCAGACCCTCTTCAACCCCTGGACAGCAGCACGGCAGGCCTCCCTCTCCATCTCGAACTCCAGGAGTTTACTCAAACTCATGTCCATTGAGTCGGTGATGCAATCCAACCATCTCATCCTCTGCCATCCCCTTCTCCTCCCATCTTCAGTCTTTNAAGGTTGGTGAACACCTGGAGATTGGGGAGGGTAGTGCACCTGGTGTGGGCATGGAAGCTCTGTGCCCTTTCTCCGTACCTTGCCCTATGCATCTCTTCCATTCGGCTGTTCCTGAATTATATCTTTTTATGACCTAGTAATCTAGTAAGTCTTCCCTGTCTGCTCAGTGGTAAAGAATCCAACTGCAATGCAGAAGACATGGGTTCTATTGCTGGGTCTGGAAGATCCCCTGGAGTAGGAAATGGCAACCCACTCCAATATTCTTGCTTGGGAAATTCCATGGACAGAGGAGCCTGGCGGGCTATATAGTCCATGGGGTTGCAAAGAATCAGACACGACTGAAGCAACTGAGCAATCTAGTAAGTAAAATGTTTCTCTGAGATCTGTGAACCCCTTTTAGAAAATTAATTGACCCCAAGGAGAAGGTTGGGCTTCCCTGGGCTCATATGGTAAAGAATCCACCTGCAATATGGGAGACCTGGGTTCAATCCCTGGGTTGGGAAGATCCCATTGAGCGAGGCATGGCAACCCACTCCAGTATTCTTACCTGGAGAATCCCCATGGACAGAGGAGCCTGTTGGGCTATAGTCCATGGGGTTGCAAAGAGTTGAACATGACTGAGTGACTAAGCACAGCACAGCACAAGAAGTTTGCAGGAACTTCAGTTTTATAGCAAGTTGGTCAGAAGAACTGGTAACAACCTGGACTTGTGACTGGCATCTGAAACCAAGGGAGAGGTTATTAGAACCTCCAGTTTCTAGTCCTGTAGGTCAGAAGCACTGATAATAACTTGGGCTTGCAATTGACAGATAAAGTGGTAGGGAGGGGGTGGGAGTCTTGTAGGACTGAACCCTTAACTTGTGGAATCTTATGTGATCTCTGGGTAGATAGTATCAGAATTCTGTTGAATTCTTGGGAACTCTGCTCACGTCAGAATTGTTTTTAGTGTGTGGACCCCCTTACCTACCCTGTACACATAGGAAATTGACTTTCAGAACACCAAAAAATGTACTAATCTTTTATATTTTATGGATATCCTTTTTTTTTTTTTTTTGGAAACTTACCTTTCCTAAAACAACTGTATCTGTGAGTTCCTCAACCATGTATAACCCAGGCCTGGTTTCTCCAAGACTGAAGTACTATAATTTTAGAGTTCTGGTACTCCTGAAGCCTTTCTAGAAGTAGAGAAGTCAAATGATTATAGATGAAGACACGGGAACAGAACAGATTATGTTTAAATCACGAATCGGTTGATATACTCATGGACGATTGCCCTTAGACAGGTTACTTTGCACTGTATGCCCACTTCCTGATCAGTTAGATTGGAAAGATAATAGTCCCCACCCCCTAGAATAGTTTTAAGGATTGTATTAATTGATACATTTGATGCATTTGTGATAATTCCTACTATATAATAGTATTATCTATTCTTTTTTATATTTAAGCTATTTGACATAGTTTAAGGTACATTTTGATGTCTTAAACTATTTAAGTGGATAGATTTCAGTTCTACTTATATGAGGCATAGGAGATGAATCTGGTAAACATTTGTATCCGTGTCTAAAAAAAGCACAATACCACCCCTACAATTATTGATCAAAACAGAAAAGAACCAAGGGGAGCTGGATGGAACTGGGAAAGATTAGGTTTGTCATCTGTGTCCTCAAGGAAGCAAACAGTGATAGAATTAAGAATGTAAAAAAAAAAAAAAGGTAAAAGGAGAAAACTATCAATAGATGGGATAGAGGTAACTCAGAGCCAAGATGAAGAGTCCCTCCTTGGAATAAAAATGGCAAGACCTTTGCAGCACAGTCTTGCTTAGTCTTTGGCTGGAGTCTCCCCAAGAAGCCTGCAACCTCAACTCAAAATCTGAGGCTGTCACCTAACCACACTCTTGTAAACAGGCAAAAGTCCTTTTATTGAAGAGATATCTGAGCAGCACATTTCTGCATTTGTCACAGTCCACCCCTTGCATGAGATTCACTCTCCATACACATTCACAGAACTGTTTTCTTCCTGAACAGAAACTTCAAAGATAGAAGTTTGTGGGACAACTGCAGTTTCCATCTTTGCAGTTGGTCTGTGCAGGAGCCACAACTGAACTCATTACTTGATTCTCTTCTCCACTATTTATTCTAAATTGTCCTCTCTTTTATCTACCACCTCTGCTGGTCTCAATAATTAAATTGGTAATGTGAAAACAAGTGCTGAGAAACTTGAGTCTCAGGTAACAATCCCTTTCTCAGGCAGATGTTGTTGTGCTTGTCCATTTACAGTCACTTTTGGGCAAAGAAGAAGTTCCCAAGTGGATCACTTTAGTAACCAGACATATTCTTACTTGCCTCCATTGAAGCCTACTTACTCCTGTTGATCAGAATTAGCTTCTTCTGCCAGGTTGTTGACTCTTCTTCTTGCCTACTTGTCCCTGAACTCAAAAAGGCCAAAGTTTCCAGGCGGCAGATGAAGCTTAGTTCAGTGGGACCTTTGCTCTGTCCCCTAGCAGGAAGATGGCATCTTTGGTGACTAGGACTTCTAATTCCACAAATTTAGAACTACAGAAATGGGAAACACTATGTCCACTAGTGGATAATTGGGAAGACGATAAATGGGGCTCTTCCTGGTTTAATCCATTGCTTTCTGGCCCCATGTATTGTTTCTTTTTGGGACCCTGAGCCATATCAAGGTCTACTGCTTCCTGGGGGACAGCATCTCATCTTTCCAGAGTGTTGTCTCTTAGCAACTGCTTGAACTTCACTCTCAGCAGGCCATTCCAATGCTTTATTAGGCCACCAGCTTCTGGGACATGCAGCATGTGGTGCAACCAGTGGAATCATGGTCACAGGCACCCTCCTACACCAAATATAATACTTTCATCTGATGATGAATTGTGACTGGGTCTCCAGAATTTATGACATAGAATGTTCAGCAAGATATATTTCATTTTGTACCACGAAGTATCTCAGTGAGGTTCCCCAATGGCCCAGTGGGTAAAGAATCTGCCTGCAATGCAGGAGACAACAGGAGATGCAAGGGTTGAAGAAGCTGAACACGACTGAGTGACTAAGCACAGTGCAAGTGTCATGGTCAAGTACTCCCTCTTTAGCATAGCATCCTAGGACCTATTTTTCAAAAGTTGTGCAACCTTGATCCAGAACCCCAGAAACCTGAACCATGATTTTCCTACCAAGGTTCCTATAAACTTCATATTGCATCTTTTCGGAAACTGACAATTCTAATGCCATAGGATCTGCCAGTTCCTTTAGTCCAAATCAGGCTACTTGCACTAGAACTCATACCTGGTGCAAAGCCCTTTCTTGTGCCAAGTTGCACCAGATATTATGGGCCAGGAATGTAGTCTGAGGTCTGGAGTACATTGTTTACAGAACCCAAAGCAGCCTCCTAGGTCTTGTGCTTTCTTCTTTTTTTGTGGGGGATGCAAGAGATGTTAGTTTGTGTTTTACTTTGAAAAGGATGTTCTAGCACTTCCCAGAATACTGCACTATTAAAACCTCTATTAAAAGGACAGGACCTTGATTCTTCATAGGGTTCATTTCCTACTCTCTATAGCACAAACCTTCAGCACACTAGCCACCTCTCCCTCAGTCTGTTATAGCAGCATGATTTCATTATTATAATGGATCCTAAGGACCTTATCCAGAATCTCCAGGTGACCTAGATCTCTTTGGACTGTATATGAAAGAGGAGCGCTAATAGGGCTAGACTGTCAGTGCATGCTATTGTCAGTTTATTTCATGTGGACATTAATAATTAGCAATTTCATATGTACAGTTATTTCTAGTTGTCTTTCTTGATCAAGGTAGAAAAGAAAGCCTTCTCCAAATCAGTGGCCACACACCATGTGAAAGTGAAAGTCTCTCAATTGTGTCTCTGTGCGAGCCCATGGACTATAAAGTCCATGGAATTCTCCAGGCCAGAAAACTGGAGTGGGTAGCCTTTCCCTTCTCCAGGGGATCTTCCCAACCCAGAGATCGAACCCAGATGAGTCCCTTTGAGAAAAGGTCAAAGGAGTCTCTATAATATATACCTGATAGGGTATTGCAGGGTGCTTCTTCATGAGACCCAGCTAAGTCTTCAGCCAGTACAGGTACAGGAACTTGCCTAGAAAGTGTGACTGTTTACTGGGACGACCACCCTCAGCCTCCTGCTCATCCATTCCTTCTTTTAATCATGTATGTGAGCAACACTTGCATTGGCTGCCTAAATATTTTGCCCCTCGTGGTAGTGGTTTTGTTGCTAAATTGTGTCTGACTGTTTTGACCGCCAGACTGTAGCCCACCAGGCTTCTCTGTCCATGGGATTTTCCAGGCAAGAATACTGGACTGGGTTGCCATTTCCTTCTCTATCTTTCCAATCCAGAAATTTAACCCACCATCTCAAACCCATGTATCCTGAATTGCAGCCAGATTCTTTACCACTGAGTCACCAGGGAAGCCCATATTTTGCCCCTAGTATCACCATATTCTGTTAACCATATTCACAATTCCCTCTTGGCTGCTGCCTTTACATTCTTGTCACTATAATTGTGACTTCCTAGCTTCTGAGGGTTAAGTGTTGCTCATCCTCTATTGCATCAGGGCCCCATTATCCTCACTGCTGCTAATAAACCAAGTTCCAAGGAAGGCTCTCCTATCAGCAACCCTGCGCTGTAAATAGAAGTCAGCTTCGGATGGCTTTGTGATGCTGGTGTCTCTCTTACGAGCACAGTCCTGTTGGCCTTTCGGAATGATGTGTCCTCTGGGTCCTCCTATGCAAAATAATTTTCTGGTAGGTTTTCTGGCCTCACATAATAAATTCACTCCAGCATTTCCACTTCCCTGAGTTTTTTATGTCTTTTCTCCAGAGTCAGCTACGGCAAGTCAGGCATTTCCTTTTCTCACCAGGAGCCATTACTTTCTCCAGCTGTCTGGGAGTCATGCTAGCAGCACATTTGCTTCACCCATTCAGAATAGAGAGTGTTTAATTCTATATTTCAAGAGGATGTCCCAAAGTCCACAAACTCTCCCCATCCAGTATTATATTCCAGTGCTCTCTACCAGTGAAAAGTTTTAGCTCTCACACTACCATATTGTGCCAAGTATTAATTGTTCCCCATAGACCACCTGGAATGGACTCTCTCTCTCTCTCTCTCTTTTTTTTTTTTTTGCCAATCAGGAAGTGAGGGTTCTGGTTTCAAGATCTCAACCTACCACTTGCTTTTGTGGGTCCTTCCTGCTACTAATATGCCAGTTGGGTCCTCTAAGAAGTGGAAAGGAGAATAGAAAGTGTGTTGGGGAAATAACACCTGTGAAAAGAAAGGGCAGGAAAAAAGACTGAACAGAAGAGTCCACAGATCACAATACAGATATGACAAAGTCTCTGAAAGCGCAACAGCAAGGTCCAAAGTGAAGATTAGCTCTTAGGAGTGTGTTGCATTGGGTGAAAGTCTAGGCCTTTATAGCACATTTCGCTTGGTCATTGGCTGAGGCCACCCAAAGAAGGGCATGACCTGAGCTCAAAAGCTGAGGCCAAACCTGAAGGAGTTAATAGCTAGTGGCCATGAGTCCTTTCTTGAAGAGGGATCTGAACATCTTAAAGATGCAATCCTATATCTGCTACATTAAGTACTAACACTAGAAATAGTTAAGTTTGTTTGGTGTGTTCTGTATTTCTTAATTAGCTCACTGCTGTTGTAAAAGTTGGGGCTTCCCTGGTGGCATGGTGGTAAAGAATCTGCCTACCAAAACAGGAGATGCAGGAGACACAGGTTTGATCCCTGGGTCGGGAAGACCCCCTAGAGGAGGAAATGGCAACCTATCCCAGTAATCTTGCTTAAAAAACCCTGTGGACTGAGGAGCCTGGTGGGCTACAGTCCAGGGGTTGCAGAGTTGGACACTACTGAGCGCAGTATTGTGAGTATTGCATTGGGGAGAATTGACAGATCAGAAGAGGTCTCATCCTTCCCTGGGTTAAGTGCATATAAGAATTTCAGAGATTGTAAGGAAAAACCTGGAAATTTGTCATTGTCCTCACATCCATAATAGATTCATGAGAAACATTGACTAAACTCTTATGAAATACCTAATAGAGAATTTTTCTCTCTTTCGTTTTGATGTTATTGGTACTATAGTAAATTCCACAGCTATTCAGTCTCATTATTAAACAGGTTTCTGCTTTTCTCTGAAGTTTGCCTGAAACTCTGTTTTAGAAAACAGGTTAGTGATTATGTCATTAACAAAATGTAATCTCAGTGAAAAACACTGCACTATGTAGTCTGAACTACAGGTATTTCAAAGAAGAGTCTTGGGCACAATCTTCCAAGGTAAAATTGCTTAGGAAACTTTTGGACTGTACCAGTGTACCAAGTTAGGATTCCCAGGACTCTTTTCTGTCCAAAAGCAGACATATTTCATCAAAGCTAACTACTTGATCCAAGGCCCAACAAAATACAAATTTCAGAAGACTTAATAAATTATTGAGGGAAATATTAATTTAGTATTTATTCACTATATTTTGGCATTATTTTAACATTTTATTTTTTGTAGATATATGAAAGAGCTGTTTCCTTTTCTTCTGAAGCTATTTCAAATCTTCAGTATAGTAAACTCTGCCTTTGGGATTTGATTCCCACTGATACATAAGCATTGAGAAAGAGATATTTTTACTGAGGCTCCTTACTTTTTTTTCTTTTCTTTTTCCAATAAGAGTATTTCCTTCTTTTTACCTGAGTATAATTGGGCAAATCAGCTGTGCAACTATGTCACATGTTACATTTGAAAATAATTCTCATTTAATTGTGTGTCAGAGTTAACTTTATCAGGGTTAACTTTACATGTCAAGATCAACTCATGAATGGCACTGAGCTATTGACGTTAAAAGCAGTGAAGGCCAACCAGCTGAGTAATAACCATTGCCGTGGAGACCAGAGGACCTGGGAACACTGTGCTGATCTCAGGATCCTTGCTAATCCCTTTTTCTGTACAGCCCAGATGCCACCTTGGGGAGGAGGTGGGGGAAAAAAGTAAGTAAAAAGTTTTAGTCACTCAGTCATGTCCGACTGTCTGTGACTACATGGACTGTAGTCCTCCAGTTTCCTCTGTCCATGAAATTCTCCAGGCAAAATACTGAAATGGGTTGCCATGCCCTCCTCCAGGAGATCTTCCTGACCCAGGGATCAGACTCTGGTCTCCTGCATTGCAGGCAGATTCTTTACTGTCTGAGCCACCAGGAAGGTTTACCTAAATACCTGAGCCTACTTAGGTTGCTTTTATTTTTTTTTTAGGGGAGTGGGACGTACTAACCTTCAAGGGGGTGTTTAGAGCTATATAAGGGCAGTGAAGGTTGTCATCATGCTATTGAAAGCTACTCCTGGCACTTTACAGGAGGTAGGGGTGAGGACGGGCAAGGGTGCTAAATGTCTGCAGAGCTCTAGGAAGCACTATTTCCTCAGCATACCACTTGAATTATCATGAGAAACACAGAAGGGGGGGGGTGTTTAAATCCATCTGTTTGGGTTTACAGAAGTGTCTTAATAGTTTTTTATTTTGTTTTGTTTTGTTTCCCCACACAACCCAGTGGGGAGGGCTCTTGAGGAAGGTAAGATTAGTTTAAATCAAATAAAGAATTACTTTTTCTTTCCCTAGTCAGTCTGTAATGTGATTGGTCCTGTTACAGCTATCCTTAAAAACAGAGTTAATCTAAATGCAAAGTAATTATAGCAATATTTTGAAAAGCTGGGAGTACAGATTCTTGGCAGGAACAAAAGATATTCTTTAATTGATTTTCTTTAAGATATGTTTTTGTCCAGAATGCCTGATTTTCAGATGATCCTGTTAGTCACACTGGAAAGCCAAAGCTTTGACCGACTGTTGTGTGACTCAATTCATATCATATTTTGAACATTTTAAAAAGTTGCCTGTGCTTATGTAACCCACATGTAATAACTTAAAAGTGCTCTTGGAACTATTTCTGACAGTTTCTATGAAAACACTTTAATTGGGGTGGCCAACAGCTTTTAACTGCCACAGGAGATGTTTTGATATGGGAAGTGGGGAGGAACAGAAACCCACTGAAGAAGAGGGTTTGCACAAGAGGGTTTGCCCACCCCCTCCACCTGTGTTTTTTTTCCTGACGATGTTTCCAGAAAGCTGTCCTTTTCAGGCAAATGTTAAAGTTTCCACAAGTTAAATAGTGGCTTTTTCTGTAAATGAAAGCAGAGGCAGGAGAAAACCGTTTACAGGAAAAAGTGGAGATGAAAAGAAAAATGGTGTCTAATAGCAAAGAAAAGCAAAAAAGAAGCATAGAATCACTAAAAAAAACACAGAGAGAATAAATGAAATGATGACAAGAACAGGTATTTCTGAGCCATAATTCAACAGGAGGGATCGATAATGTCCTCGTGGTACAAGTGAGAGGACAGGAACTCTTCCTTTCGTTACAAGAGAAGGAGATGATCTGTGCTGCCTTCTGGAATCACAGCACTACCTGGGCCATTGGGAAGCAGGAGGGAGAGCGCTGAGCCTGGTTGCAAATGCTGGCCTTTGAGAGAGAGGCTGAGAGGCTGACCCCAAGTACCAGGGAGCAGTAGATCACACCGGCTGAACCAGGATGCCCAGAGCCAGACTGTCTAAGTTTAAATTTACCACGTATATAATTTGTCACATAACAAATTACTCTAAGGCTAATGCTTAAAATTACATTTATTATCTCACATTTTCTGGGAGTCAGGACTCAAGTGCAGCTTAGCCTTGTCCCAGGGTTCAGGGTCCCTCACAGGGCTGCAGTCAAGGTGCTAGCTGGGGCTGCAGTCATCTCAGAGCCAACTGGGAGAAGATGCACTTCCACGATTCCTCACATGGCAGTTAGCAGCCTCAGGCCCTTGCTGCCCTTATGGAGACATTAGTTCCTTGCCACCGACGTGGGCCTCTCCATTGGGCAGCTCACAGTATGACTGTTGGCTTCCATCAGAGCGAACAATTGGGAAAGCATCAGAGAGGGCACAGTCTAATCTTGACTCACCTTGTCTATCCCCTTTGTTAGAATCAAGTCACTAGGATACGGAATGATGGCGTGAAGACCAGAAGGTCATCTGAGAAGCTTGTTTATCATACCCACTAAGTAATCCAATCTGCCTTCACATTCCTTCTCTTTAAAATGAGGATGAATAGTAGCATTTACAACATTAAACAATAAAATAAAGACTTTTTTTTTGGTCCATGTTGTTTGAGGATGAATTAAAATAATCTATGTAAAATGCCAAACATGGTGCCTTACACATTTACTTTTGAAATAGTGACCTTTTTTTTTTTTTCCTCCCAGGGATTTTCCCTTTCTTTTCTCCCATGCAAGAGAAAGTTTCCTTTGCTTATTCTTCAGGAGGGATATATGGCTGAATGGGAAGTTGAAGGCCTGCTGGTCTTCCCAGTTTGGTTTCAAAAGCCTAGAACCTCTTGGAACAGAAAGTTTAGGAATAGATATCAAATAAATGGGGAAATCACTAGGGAAAGAGCAGGTCCCGGGAAGGAATAGTGGAACCAGTGCTGAACTTTTCCCTTCTTCATTTAGGCACCATATATTAGAAATATCTTTGTTTTCTAATTCTTTCGAATAAGCAATTTGATGAGAATTAAGGACATTTGAATAAGCAATTCAGTGAAGGAAAATGACCAGACTACATTATGCAGAGGGAAGAGCTCTATAGTCTTATTGAACCCTGCAGCTTGTGTTCTGTAATCCTTGGATTAAGTAAAATGACAGTATCTTGAAAAAGCAATAAAGGGGATTTCACTGCCTAGAGTTTAGGTTTAGATTTAGTTCGTATTTAATATCATTTGGTAGTATTTTAAAAGTTGTGTATCTGAAATCAGCAAATTAGTTAACATTATCTTTGAATACTATAAGTATTCTATCATACAGTCAAAGCTGTGCTAAGAAAATCGCTGTCTGGATGGCTTAAAAGTCAGTGTTCAACATATTGAGACATTTAGGGATAAAAAGAAATGAAGGAATTTCTCATATTTATGTGTTTGATCAACAAATAGGAAATATTACAAAGTAGAGGTCATAATAAGAGGTATATGAGGAATATGAAGTTTATGAAATATGTTCTCTACTTTCAAGCTTTCTATCTAGTTGAGAGCTTTTGTCAAAGCTGATTTTTTAAAATCTAATGGAGAGTTTCTGCAAACAGCCTGACATACAGTGTCTTTTATCAGGTTTCCCATCTGACTTTCGAAAATCTCCAGGGAACAGGTCATTGATCCACAAACCTGTCACAAGAGACAGGATGTTATAGTGGTTAAGGTGACAGGCCCTGAAGCAAAAGTGACTGCCAGGATTTGTACCTTGACTCTGCCACTTGGTAACTGTTTGATCCTGATCAAGTTACTTAAGCATCTCTGTATCTCAGTTTTCCTACCCATAAAGCAGTGATAATATGACTCATATCATATGGTTATCATGAGAACAAAATGAGATAATCCACAAAAATACTTAGAACATGTTAGTTCAAGTGTGTCTGGCTCAGTAAACATGAGTATATTCTTACTATTAATAGCTGACTGTTGATTATGTTTTTCCTTGAAATAACTGCTTCAGGTTTTTCTGCTCACTGGCTATTGCCGTCTTACAAGCACTTCATCTAGTTGCTATTTTCTTCCCGTTCTAGTTATGCCCCAAAGACATTAGACATGGCTTCTAATCTTTAATTGCTCAAAGCACAGCTGTGGCATTTTGTAAAACTTTACTAATGCATACATGAATAGGATCATCTAAAGGAAAACCTAAGACAAAACATTAGGTGCCATTTCTCCTGGAAACCATTAGTCATGCCCTTCCAAAGGTGCTCCTTGGCAGGTCAACTGTGTCCTTTCCTCTGCCTTGATATCATGATCTGAGGCTTGACTCATATTCTCCAGATGGATATCCCCCCCCTCCTGCCCTTCTTCTCAGGGTCCAGGGCCCACACCCCACTTTATCTCTAGCTGTCTCAAAAGAAAGCAAAAACCAACCACACCATCATAATCTATTCAGAGAGAACACACGCCCACAAAAAAGAAATAGAGTCGATCCTTCTCGTTGTCTTGAGTATATCCCTTCTCATTTTCTCCTTTGCTTTGTAAAACCCAGAAGTCTATAAAAATGCATTTAACCAAACACCTGCCTTTTCCCAAATACAAATATTCTACCACCCCTAGAACAAAAGGCACAAATTTCAATATGATTTCACCTACACTAAACTCCATCCAAAAAACCCTGTTTAGAATCTCACAATTCCCAAATTAATGTTTTCGGGAAAGGGTAAAATATTGAGTCAAAATGATCAGGTTGTTAGGGTGGGCAATTGTAGCTCATTTCTGCTGGAGAACCTTTAATAAACTGTATACAGTGTTGTCCAACAGAAATGTAATGCAAACCACATATGTAATTTTAAATTTTCTAGTAAGTAAAGTTTTAAAAATTAGGTAAAATTAATTTTGATGTTATATTTTACTTAGCAAAATATGCCCAAAATATTATAATATATAATCAGTAAAAACATTAATGAGATAGTGTATCTTTTTTTCATACTATGTTTTTGAAGTCCAGTGCATATTTTACATGTAAGTTGCATATCTGTTTGGAACAGCTACTTTCAAGGGGTCAATAGTCACCTCTGCTAGTAATCATATTGCACTGCATGGAGAACATATCTCAGAATTGCCCCTAACAGGACAGTGGTCTTTCACGCTTTTGCAGCCAGAGAAAGTGTTCAGGGAAAGAATTCTATGCTGAAGAACCATTAGGGCAACTGTCCGTGAAGCTGCAGGTGACCTCGGCAGAGGCTACGGGAGAATCAAACCCAAGGCTCACACATTGAAGGTAGATTCTTTACTGTCTAGCCACCAGGGGAGCCCAAGGATACTGGAGTAGGTAGCCTAGCCTTCTCCAGGGAAATTCCTAACCCAGGAAGTGAACTGGGGTCTCCTGCATTGCAGGTGGATTCTGTGTCAGCTGAGCTACCAGGGAAGCCCACAGTGCTCACTACAACCACCTAAAGCAGTAGCTGGTACCGTTCCATTCCAGAGCTAAATAAAAATGGCCAACTAGTTATGAAGTTAGGGAAAATTACTAGGAAATTACGAACAAATGTTCCTTTTTTCTCTTCAGGAGAGATTCTTCTTTTGTGAATGTAAAATTATGTCTCATTTTGTTTTTTCTCCCTTTACCTTCTATTGATATTTCCTCCATTTCAAGCCTGCAGTTATTAATAGATAGATAGAGACTACTCTTGCCTCAGGGAAGATTTGTGATAAGTCTGAAAATAGAAACAACTTACCCCCAGCCTTCGCTGGCTTTTATCTTCTGAAGTCAGGCACCTCTGCAGGTGGGTATATTGTAGCGGAGGGGAAGAAAGCCTCATTTGGTGAGAGGGACTGACAGAGCTGGGTAAGTCTACAAGTAGAGGGAACTTGGGCCTCATTCAATGACAGAACGTTAGCATGGGGTGGGGGATGGTAAAATGGCAAAAATGACTACCCAAGGTGGTGGGACCCCAGAAAAAGTTTAGCGACAATTTCTTTGACTTGAAGCCTGGCATGGAAGTGGTGGTCATTGTAAGTCATGTGCCAATGGGCATCTTGGCAGTGATCAGTGTGGACCAAATATTTGATGGGGCCTTCCTGGAGATAGGCTCTGGGTGAGACTCTTCCACTTTTGCAGGGCCCAGGGTTCTAGCAAATTTGCAGGGTGTTTTTTGTTTTTTTTGGATTGGTTTCTTAAAAGTGTCAATGTTATCTCTAAAGAGTTTTCAGTTGATTTTCTGGAAGAATGGGTGAAGTTTTTAAAAAATTTCAGATTTCATGAAATAAGCACAAAATTTTCACTTTTCACACTGTAGGATTGTGTTTATGTATCTGTTTTTCTGGCTTCCTAAAAAAACAAAGAACATTTATATCTTAAATAGTTGATTTTCTTCTTACATGCACATATTTATGATCATGCATTTCAAAAATAAGAAACCTTGAGACAGTAGCCAAAAAATGGCATATGTATTTTTACCAAATTGAGTGAATATTTTAATAGAAACATCCTCATTTTTGCTGCTATTTATGGATTCTGAAATTTTATTTTAGTTTAATTTTAAGTAAATATACTTACATAAAAATTATAAGAATAGCACAATGAATTTTATACCTTTAAGCAAGATTTCCTGAGTTTAATGTTTTACCACATCTCCTTTATCATTTTCTTTCTCTCTGTTTCTGTCTCTGTTCCTCTCCCTCCATTCCCCTCCCACATACACTCTCATATACATGCACATACATACAGGTTTGTAAGGGAGTTGTAAAAAATGTCTCTTTACCTTTAAGCATTTTAGTACTTATTTTCTAAAAACAAAGACATTCTCTTACTTAACCACAACACAGTTAAAATCAGGAAATTATCATTGACAGAATACTGTGACCTAATCTACAGACCTTATGCAAATTTTGCCAATTTACCAGTCCTCAGTGGCAAGATGAAATCCTAGATCACACATGGCTTTCAGCTGTCATGTCTGTTTTGTTTTCTTTACCCTGAAACAGTTCCTCAATTTTTTTGTTGTTTGGTCTTTTAAAACATTGACGTTTTTGAAGAGTATGGGTCAGTTATTTTGTAGAATGCTCTTCAATTTGGGTTTGTCTGATGTTTTGTCCTGATTAGATTCAAATTGTATGTGCATATTTGGTAGGAATACCACAAAAGTGGTGATGTGCTGTTTTTTCAAGGTATCTTTTCAGGAGACACAGGATGTCAATTTCATTGAGAAAGTCTTATGAAATAAATATCAGCTGAACTCAGCAGTCTACTCAGGGATACAGTTGGCTGATATTATGGTTAAGGATATTTTTATATTGTCATTAGTTGATAACAATTCATGCACTGACACTTTTAGTAGCAACCTTACAGTGCACATTTGTTGACTATATTCCCGGTGTTCATTTCTCAACTTGTCCCCTTCACAACAGCCTTTAATCTTCACTTTAAGGTTGCACCTCAACCTGGGGAAGTCAACTTCAGCCCCTCCCTCTACCAGAGGAGCATGTGATCAATGTTAGGCCAATAAAAGCATTGCATCTCTCTGGATTTGGTATTGTTTCAGGATGGGATGGGACCAAAACAGTCTAATTACCATGAGATCTGG